GAGTTTCATTTGCTCAGAAACCTTACTGACATGAACTTTTTCTACTATATGCCTATCTGATGATGTAATCAAAGACTAACAGTAATCACATGCTTGGATCCAATATTTCAGAAATTACTACCCAAAAAAAAAAAAAGTCAAGATTGATGGCAAAAAAACCAATTCTGCTAAATCAATTTCGACTTCAGATAAAACCAGGGAGAAGAGGGTGAAGGAAAGGAAATATATTCACTGACCTCACTGATATCTGGTATTGAGAAACCCGATGAAATAATAGCCAAAGAATCCAGTAGGCTTCAACATCACTGACACCTTCAGATGCAAGCTGATGCAAAAGTTGCTCAGACATTCTTTCTACAGCATATGAATCGCTCATTGCTTGTATCACATTCAGCCAAAATTGGGATTCTGGGTTTGATTCAAAAACATCTGAGACAAGTGGCTCTATATTTGATGATAATAAGCTCCGGACGTGACCAAGAATCCGGGGGATTATCTCGCTTAAAAGTACATCTGTGAAAAACTCAAAAAAGAAAAACACTTTGATTACAAATCCATGGACATCTTACCAGAATACTCTTGCATATCAATTGTCATGCTCTACTGACCAGAGAATAAATGCAATTCTTGCACAAACAGTTTCTCCACTGTGATGCTTAAAATTATAATAGTTACCTACAGATCCACGTCGACATATACGAGAAAATGTTTCCCCAACAAATAGTAATGTCCCATTCATGTAACTTTTAAGAAACGCTCCATCTAATAGATTTGTATTCCTCTCTTCTGCTAGAGAAAGAAGCTGAACTGTAACTTGCTTGAAGAACAAACTATAGTACTTATGTCAAGATAAACAAAAAATTGGCAGTAACGGAAAAATTTTGATCTGCAAATAAGTAGAGCTATCATATTTCTAACTGCACTACGTTAAAATAATCAAAATAGAAAATTTAAACTACAACCATTATCACGGAATACACTTTTTCTAAGTATACACAAGTATTTGGTACAATTATCCAGCACAAGAGATAAAAGGATACTGTGAAGAAAGAGAAGTTGGAGCTCTCAATTGTGCTTTGTCAGGTATGGATGCAACAATCTGTGCCACTCTAGATACAGCTGGCTTAAGATTTTCATTTATATAATCTTCAGATTGGCAAGAACCACCGAATTCTCTAGCCACCTGGAGCACCCCATTATTTTCAAGCAAGCAGAGTATGAGTAATCTGTGTAATGGTAGAAAAAAGTCCGAGAGGTTAAGTGTTAGTAAAGAATGATATTTCAGATATCTATCCTAAATCCACACGATAGATAGTGGAAGGACTGAACCCCTTATTGTTTTCAACTAACCACCAGACAGTAACAGGCCCTTATTCCTACCTTTCAGTATTAGAGTGAATGGCCTTAACATCAAGATCATCACCTCCACTCTTCTGCAAACAAGGGACCAAGGTCTGAACTACCTCGGTGGCAAGTCCATGAACAAAGAAAACATCATACACATGTTTACGTGCTGATAAGGGGAAACAAGCTAGCCAGTTGGAAGCAAGATCTGCAAACAACACCAAAACAAATCATCATATGTAAAGGCATGCACAAAAGGCGTCAACAGTAAAAAAAAATGGGTGAGCCAAAACCAATGAAAGAGATGCCAAATTTTCCTCAAGAATCTCCACGAAAATCAGCTATCAATTAATCTTTACGTTTTATAAACCTCCATTTGATTCAACGCCATTCTCTACACGCCAAGAGTGTTGGTGATTTGACTGACTTACATATATTTCTCTTCCCAAAACTCGAATTTTTGAAACTTACGGCCAAATGAATAAAAGCTGAGATATATAAGAGAACTCCACACACAAAAATTCAAGAAAACATGATGGCAATAGAAAATAGAGGTAAGAAGAATACCAATTAACAGAAACCGAGCAAATGTCGAAAATGCAGCTCCTCCATAGAATGCCTGCCACCACTCTCTCCTCTCAGCTGCAGAAGGAGCCTCGGAACTAATTATCTGCACACAACACAACCACAGAAGCTCAAATCTCTAAGAAAACTCGCTGCAACAAATAAATTTCAATAAAAATTCGTGAAATTTCAAATTTTTAAATTTCACATCAGCCAATAGCTCACCTGCTCTCTGTATTGCTCGTCAATAGCACCTGAAATTCCAAAACATTCAGCTCGCAAAACAAATCTTTTGTTTCATTTTCAATCAAACGACTCAAGAAGTGAACAAATTTGCAAACTTTCGGTTTTGGAATTTTCTCGGAAACCAAACAGCCGGTTCAGTAACTCGGAAAATCGAGACTTTTCGGGTGAAACGCAGAATCTGAAAAGTTACCTGAGAGAAGAGAGGCGTCGAGAGGGAAGAGAAGAACGGCGAGGGAGTGAAGCGCGCAGATGACTTGGTCTACGTGCTTCGCCTTCTTCACGGTTGCGATTGCTTCTCCTACTTTCTCAAGAAGTTTCTCTTCTACTTCGCTTCGTGTTTTCGGACCTTTCTTCTCCATGTTTGTTTGTTGCTCTCTGCAACAATCTGAAGCTTTTCGCGGCCGAAATTTTGTTGGCCGATACGCAGCGAGTCTGCTTTTCGGCGGCGGAAATAATCAGTTTCGGAAGAGACGGTTCGAGACTTCACACGGCTGCGTTTGTGAACTTTGTTTTAATCTTTTTAGTTTTTATTTAAACTTTTTTTTCTTTTAATATTAGCAATTTAATGGGGGGAAGTTTAGTAAAAATGATCATCTAATGAATTTTTTATTTTCTTTTTATCTTTTTCACTTGAAAATAATTAGATTTTAGAGAAATGTTAAACCAAACCTCCTAAATTAGATTTTAGTACCTTTTTTTCCCGACTTCATTTTCTAGCATTCTAATCTTTTAAAACGGCTTAATTTTTCTCAATTTAAATAGGAAAAAATAAACAAAAACTGCATTGAATTAATTGGAAAAAGATTTCTCTAGTATCATTTTTTTCTTATGTACTTCTCTTTTTTAATAATGTATTTTAATTCATATTTAATTTAATGATTAAAAATAAATAAAAATAAGAGTATATAAATCATCTTTGTTACAAGTATGCCAAATTGATGCATTAAGATATTGCTTAGCTTTAGAAGAGAACTATTAAATTTTCTCATATTTTTCTCACACAATGGTGGCTAAAGAAGCTAAAATATCTTTATGAATTTTTTCAGCCTCGAGAAAAGTGGACTATTCTAGCAAAGACACCAGTTGATTCCTTTTTTCAAAAAAAAAAAAACAAAATACCAGTTTGAATTTCATACCAAACGATAAAAATAAAACTAGTTTCATTATTTTTAGTATTTTTAAGGATAAAAAATAATTTTAGTTAATTGACCAAAAAACCAAAAAGGTTTTAGTTAAACCTTAATAAACCTGAGCTGAAGTGTAGAAACTGCGGTTCCAATTTATCCTTTTTTCCTCGCTTCCCTCTTTTCTCTCCTATGGCGACTGCAGTGTTACCAGTATCCAAGCCTGCCCGAAAGCAACCCCGCGCCATGTCGGGGCGGATTCGAAGCCCATAGACTATCCGAAGAAAAGGCCCGGATTCGAGCCATAGCTAAAATTGTTAGCTCCATGATCGACCTTTCCCGTAAAGCCCATGGAGCTGACGATTTCAGCTATGGCTAGGACCCGGGCCTCTTCTTCGGATAGTCCATGGGCGTCGAATCCGCCCCGACTCGGCTGGGGTTACTTTCGAGCAGGCTCAGATATTGGTAACACTGCAGTCGCCATGGGAGAGAAAAAAGGTTAAACTGGAACCGTTGTTTCTACGCTTCAAATCGGGTTTATTAAGGTTTAACTAAAACTTTTTTGGTTTTTTTTTTTTATCAAACCTTTTTGGTTTTTTAGTCAATTAACTAAAATTATTATATATCCCATTGCATGTGTGATTGGCTCAAAGGTAGGAGATGGGGTTTGGATCTGGTTTGGGTTTTCTGGGATTCAAGTTCGAATTTTGGGGTTGGATCTGGTTTTGAAAATGGAACGATTTCATATTTTTCTCCTAATTTGTTTCGATTTTGCCGAATTTGGGCTTGAAAATGGTTGTGGTTGCAAATGCTTCGTGAAGGGATTATCAAGCCTTCTCTCATGGCTTTGCAAGTACAATCAAAAGAAGATGATTCGCAGAAAGTGCTATACCATCGATGGAAAACACGTCTCTCGCTCCATCTTCGTCGATCTAGAGCCCATCGTCATCGACGAGGTTCGCTATCGTCGTAGCACCATCATTGTCCATCTTCGATCTTTGTTATCCCTCAAGTCCCTCGAAGCATCCCCGATTTGGAGCCTCGTGTCATCGTCAACACCATCTTCGACTGACGGAGTCGGGAGATAGAGACATCAAGTTGGGATTGGGAAATATGAGCGAGAGAGATGGGGACAAAGGATGAGCTTGACTGGTTGCGCCGTTACAAGTTTGAGTATTTGAGATTGATATGGTTGGGAATCAACATTGTTGATTTGAGTGATATTAAATCAAAGGTGGAAACGGTCCGGGCCGGTTGCCTATTTTCTCAAAATTTTGGACCCGCCCCATCCCGTTTCGTTTTCTATTTAGAATTTTTAGATCCGTCCCGAACCATTTGGACCCGTCCCGACTCGTGGGCCCAAGGCCCATTTGCCCACCTCTAATCTGATGAGCCGAAAATGATGCCTGATTTGTTGACGATGGTGCACTTTTCGAGTGGAAAAGAGAGGACTGAAGGTGAATGAAAGAAATTGATAAGAGGGAAGGAGGCTTTTTCTCGTTATAAAATCACCAACTTCCAATAACAGTGTTAGCCTCCATTTTTTAGGCCTTTCCTGCGTGAGAAAATACTGGGACGAAAGTCTTATGCATCTTTTTCTCAAGCAAAATCACTCGAAACCTGAAGAGTGTAAAATTTAGTTAAACTTTTTTTTGACAAATTATTTGCATGCATCCATTGTATTGTGTTAGTATTCATCTATCTTCTTGGTTTCTCTTTGGGACTGACGATCTGGATGTATCCATGCAAAATGAAGAACTTTCCATCTTTTTTCCAAGACCATTTGAGAGAGATAAGAAAAAGGATACAGCTCCTCTTTGGGGGGTTTAAATATCCATATAGGAGAAACTTCGACAGAAATTGCCCAGTCTTTGTTTATTCATATATGAGAAATTTCTGAAGTTGCTTCCCCAATCTTTATTATTTATTCATAGAGATTTGGAGGCAGGCGAGGTTCGACGAGGACTTTAAGTAGGGTAGATTTCTTGTTGGAATCTCCAAATCCTTGGCACATATCAACAGTTGCATTTGTTGGAGTAGAGATCTCAAACGCATGCAGAAAACTAGCCAGGATCAAAAGCGTCAAGTGAAGGCCCAAATTTATGCCAGGGCATGCTCTTCGACCGCTACCAAAAGGCATTAACTCAAAATGCCGACCCTTGACATCAACATCCTTATGGCCTGTGAGAAATCTTTCCGGCTTGAACTCCATCGGGTCATCCCAAACCCGTGGGTCAGTATGAATCTTCCACGCATTCACTATCAACCACGTGCCTTTCGAGACATGGTACCCTGCCACAATGCAGTCCTCGGTGAATTCTCTGTAGCCCGAGAATGTTGCATATAAACGCATCACTTCTTTAATAACGGCTTGCAGGTACACGAGATTATTGATATCTATTTCATTCACTAGTCTTCCTTTGCCAACATGGTTGTCTAGTTCTTCACAGACTTTCTTCAAAGCATGGCGGTTGTCCAACAACATTGAGATTGCGCAGCCCATGAGCACGGAGGTTGGGTCGCTTCCTCCAGCAATCAGATTCTGCAAAGTCATAATCAAGTTGCTTAATCAATACATATCCAATTATAATACAAAACAAGGATTAATTGAACAAGGATACCGATTACAGAAGGCTTAAAGAGAAGTTTGGTGCTGCATGCGAGTTAATTAAGAACATTCATACTATGTACCAAAACTGTAGCTTTCATGACGGTATCAGCATCAAATGATTCATGTTGTGCAACATTTTGTCTGTCGAGGACTGAAAGCATCAGGTCGATGAAATCTTGATTATTGTCTCCATCTTTTGCTCTTCTCTGCTTGTGCTCCTCCAACCAGGACATAACTATGGTATCGAGCTCTTTGGCAGTTTTTTTCATAGCTTTTTCGTGCCCTCCAATATCCAAAAACCTAAGCCATGGAACAGCATCCCCAAAGGCAAACAATCCAATAAAATGAAAGAGCTCCCTCACGGCCTTATGACACCGAACTTCCTCTTTCTCGTCACCCAAATTATTATATCTATTTCCAGCAACCATCCTAAAAAACACCTTTAGAGTTAAATCGTTGAACCACTGCTTCATCTCCACCAAAAGTTGTCCGGAACCATTTTCTTTTGAATCGTTTCTTTTGGTCCATAGATTGTATACCTCTTTTGTGGCCATCACTACTTCAGATTCTCGAACATGTTTGAATTGCTCAAGCATGTGGCTTGAGAGTAGCTCTTGGACTATAATTTTGCGCAAGTCACGCCAGTACGCACCGTACGGGCTTAACCCTAGCATGGCGTGGTTGTAGCTCAAGATTTCAGCGGCTATAGTTTTGGGACGTTGAGAAACAACCAAGTCGTTGGTGGTGAAGCACTCCTTTGCAGCCTCCCAAGTATTTACCACAAGGGCGGAGTGGATGCCAATTATGATGCTGAAGACTGGTCCATACTTGTCCGCCAATGCTCCCAACGTTATATGGGGTGGAAGCTGGGGCCGTCTGAATAGGTAGAGGTGACCTACTAGAGGCCACCCGCCTGCTACTTTTGGTGGTTCGGGAAGTTTGGCATTTGCTGCAGCAGTTCTAAGCCTCCAAACTGTGATCATAGAGAAGGAAAACACAAGTATGGCAAAAAGTCCAGCTACGGAAGTGTTTAGGAACAAGAAAGAGAGATCCATTGTTGTCCCTGCGTTTGGATAAAGGAATTGCAAATTAAAAGGAATTCTGAAACTACGGGATCCAAATTAATCTCCATCATTTAAAACCGGACAACTGCAAATTTGATTGGTTGAAGATCATGTGTGTCTTCTTAAGCTTGTTACAACATGTTACCAATGTCAACTAGCAAAACAATGGAGTAGAACCAAATACACTAACAAACCAATGGAGTAAAACCAAATCACAATGAGAAAATATTAAGAGCACACAAAGCTTAGCTTTTTTAGTTCTTGTTCGACATGCAAAGATAACTATTAAGAGCAAAAAAGGTCTCCTTTTTCAATCCCTAAGATACAGTGAAAAGAAAATTGTGTTGAAACCAATGTGTATATATAATATAATCAGAGGGATTATTTTCACTGTATATATATACACACGCAGCAGCAGCAGCAATTACCACAAAATGTAGCAAAATCTAGCAGCTGCTTTCGAATCCACATTTACGGAGTATAAAATGAGGTTTGCGAGTTCATGAAATCGTAATCCGCTCATATGGAGATGAAAGGAAGCTTAAGAGAGCGAGCTACTGGAGAAAAAGAAGTGACAAAGTAGGATTGCATATTTAAAAATGTAAAGTGAGAAGACGAAGGTGAGGTATTTAGGAGAAAAGCAAGCTAGAGGGAACGGTTTCATCTTGAATTTAGCGAGTTATCTATTTCAATCAAATCCTAAAAAACTGAACGAGACCTACAAAAACACCAAGACGATTTCACAAAGAAACCTTCAAGAAACCACAATCAATCTCAGTCATAAAATTCATCCGAAGTAATTAAAGATCCTTTAACAAACGTATCACAACCTTCATATCAGAACATAATCATAAACGAAAGATAGGTTGGAAGTCTAACCTGCAACTGAAAGGAGAGTAGCAGAAGATTGACCTTCAATCTAAACAAGACTACAAGAAGAAAGAGAATAAATAACACAGTCGACTCTTTTTTGCCTTTTCTGCATGTTCTGATCAGGAATTAATGTCACGAGGGAAGCATGACGCTAGCGAACAAAATCTGTTCAGAACTGTGAATTTCAACTCTATTCATTTAATTCCCCAAAACTAAATTTTATTCATTAAAACCAACAGATTTGAAATTTATATGTTTGGGAAAAATGTTTTAATGGAAGCGGATTTTTGTTGTTGTTGGATTAATGTAAGGAATTACTAATCCCCAAACTTTATAATTTTTATTCATTTCAATTATTAAGGATCTACACACGCTCTACATTTAAATTATGAGTGAGACCAACTTGCTGTTCAGGTAGAGGAAATAACTTTTAATCATATCCCTAGGCTTTGTAACAGTGTCGCTCACCGCTTAGCTAAGTGTGGTCTTTCAGTAGATACCTTTATAGTTTGGTTTGAGGAGCTACTTGAGGTTATACGAGATGTGTCATGTTCCAAGACTCGTTTGTGATTGAAGTTTTTCATCAATATAAATCGTTTCTACTTCAAAGAATTATGGGTGAGACCGTATCCAAGAATTTTTCCATTTCTGGTGAGAAGAGGATTTTCTTCTTACTCATTCAAGATAATTAAAGCAAAGTCCTAGCTTAGTGGTTAAGCTTTAGGTTGTTACATTCAGTTACTTAATCACAGAAGCTCAACTAAATAGTAATCTTAACATTTTGATTACAGCTCTAAATTTCAGTCGCGTTATGGCTGCATCTGACGCAAGATGAGCCAAGGAGTCTCGGGAACACAAGGGATGGATGATTCACACGACCAAGTCAAATGCTTATTTTAAGGAGGAGAAAACTCTTCTTGGATTGACTTTTAATGGAGAAAACTCTCTTTTTGCCTCAACATCTTGGTAAGAACCATCACAACATACCACATCCCGAAAGAAAAAAGGAAGATGAAACCACATCTTTTTCATATCATCGAGACTACATTGTAATTTGCAATAAGTAGAAGGAAGCGATCCCTGCTTAATCACAAAAGCTGATCATGTCACAACACTTGATGGTAATCACAACACTTTGATTAACAGCTCTATATTGCGTTTAGCGAAATCATCTCTCTAAGAAAATTACAGGCCAGTCGAGAAGGAGCCGACATCTATAACATAAGGGCTTCCCTTTCTCATTAACCAAAAGGTTTCTCAGTACACACTTTTCCGCCGTTACTTTGTCATCCTAAGACTAACTTTTAATCCACCTAAATCACCTGATTATATCTTAATCACTTTACAGAAACAATTGCATTAAGTCAACCAGAACCTATGGACCTCTCCTTCACTGTTAGCATACGAACATCACGTTGCAGAAGAGTACAGTTTCTGGCAGAAATAATCCAAGCCCTTGGGGGAAAACCAATCCTTCTTCATCTGCAATTACCAAATGAAAGGTAGAGTCCATAAGCGGTACTGTTTTTAATTCTGCATCATAAGTAAAAACATATGACAAAAGGTAAAACTTACAAAGTAGGGGTAGCCCTCAGTGCTGAAATTCTCGGGAGCACCTTCCATGAACAAGTTAATGTAGTATAGAACAAAGTTACCACACTCGACATCATCTCTCTGTTGTGGCACCTGAAATTTTTTTCTTTTTTAGGAAGAGGTTTTTTAATGTGAACATTGAAATTAACAAAGAGACTGTTAAGATCACCTCAGGCACCAACAAAGGAATTCGGTAGATAAGATCTTTCTTCTCAGGTCTTCCCTCTTCCATAAAAATGTCCAGTACAAATCTGAAAAAGATGAAAAACCCACATCAAACACCTAATAAGGGAACTGTAGCGTAAAAAAAAACCCAAATGCAATGCACAACTTGCCAAAGAAAACCATACTTTCTTATATATTTTTCATACCGCCCTGGATCAGCACCTTGAAGAGAATCAAGCAACAGCATACATGGTCTTTGGGTTTCCGACTGCAGACTCTCACCAAAATGGCATAGAATCAGGAGGTTCCAGTGGCTCCTGAAAAGGAAACGTTTCAGAAAAGAAAATGTTGGAACTCCACGCATTCAGAGAATGGAACGAATTTAGCTCAGGGTAATGGAAGAAAGCTACCAGCAAACGATAGGAACAATGACATATTTCATTGAGAAGATGCACTTATTCTTAATCCACTTCAGCACCTTGGTCTTAATGTCTCGTTTAAGTTCTTTGTGAATGTTTTGTTGCAAGTACAAGCTAAACCATAAACAGTCAAGGTAAGCGAAAGAGGTCCTCTTGTCTTCTGAAAAGCTGTTCCACAAGTTCCTACACATTCCAAACAAATTTTTAAATCCGATTCGATAAATTAAAGGGTACTTACGAACGATAATTTGAAAGACTTACTCAAAGTAACGCATGAAAGCTCCAGAGTCTAGCTTTTCCCTTTTTCGTGAAACTGCACGCTCAGCAACCTTGTGAGGCCTCATCAGCTCTTTCACCTCTTCTTTTTTCCCAAATCTCTTTGACCTCTCGCGGCGAGTGAAGCGGGGAGGGCATTCCAAAAGGCACATGGAACTCTTCTTTACCTCTTTAATATCCCCTAGAGTTATTCTCTTCTTTTGAACAATCGAAGACGAAAAAACATGCCTCCAGCACGAGCGATGTTTCGACACATTGTGTCTGAAAAGCTCTGTTGGAGTACAAACACTAAAACCCATCAACCATTCACCAGCATTGAACTTACAACCAGAACAATAACAAAACAAATCATAAAAAAATAAAAATAAAAATCCTTCAACCGAAACGGTTCGGATTTTAATCTAAATTCCATCACCAAACCATAAACCCTTGCAGAAACCGGCTTGCAAGGGAAAGTTTCCAGGAGTTCATATTCTAACCCAAAATGCTCTATGCAGGCACACTGGCATCCGAAAAATCTCAAAAAGATTGAATTTTTCATCTAATTTCCATTTTTTACGTTTTATTTAAAAAATTTCATCTGATCCCACCATTTTTCTCTTGAATTAAAAACGAAAACTTCACCTGTTGCCTAAAAATCTGAAGAAAAATTATATAAAGTTGGAAACTTTGAACAATAACTATCTGTACGTTCAGTAGGTAAACGCAGGAAAGCAAGAAAAATGGCAGCGACAGAAGAAGAGTAAAAGAGAGAGATGGGTTGGTCTGGAAGGCGAAGGAGAACATACCTGAGATTGGAGAGTGTAGGTCGGAGGAGTCGGAGTCGGAGTCGGAGTCGGAGTCGGTGACGGTGTCCGTGTCGGAGGAGTCGAGGACGATTTCGACGGTGGTGGGTTTTTTATTTCTGTTGGACTTTCTCGTCCGTGACATTTTGAAACAGAAGTACTACAGAGCTGGCTTGCAACAGAGTTAAAGAGCTTTTCCCAGAGGCTTTCTCTTGGATCATTGCATTTGCGGGGGAAAATATGGACCGTCGATTTTGTTGTCCAACGACGCTCGCGATTCTCTGGATCATTGGGGCTTTTGGTTCTTCACCTCGCGAATTGTGATCAATCCATAAACTTTATCCAAACGTGTTTTAAATCAACTAATGAAAGTTGAATAAAATATTAGTTGTTCAATGTGCTTAATATATTGATCATGGGCAATTTACATAGCCATTGATAATCTTAGGTATGTAGGAAAATCGACATTTTAGAAGGGTTTGGTTTAGGTAACTAAACCGAGTAATTGATAAGTGTTTATCTTTTGAAACTCTTGTGAATTAGAGTATTACAATCATGGTTGGTCCTAAGAATTAGTGTTTATCTTTTGAAACTCTTGCGAATTAGAATATTACTATCATGGTTGGTCCTAAGAATTAGTGTTTATAAAGATACTCCTGCGAATTAGAATATTACTATCATGGTTGGTCCTAAGAATTAGTGTTTATCTTTTGAAACTCTTGCAAATTAGAGTATTACTATCATGGTTGGTCCTAAGAATAAGTGTTTATCTTTTGAAACTCTTGCGGTTAAAAGTATTACTATCAGGCCGGTTCTGAGAATTTATAGGCCCGGAGTGAGAAATTAAATGCGGCCCTTGCATATAAATACTAGGAATTTTTTTTATCATACACTAAAACTAAAAGGTAAATTTCAATAGAAATTCATCATCAATTAGAATCAACATCTTCGAGTAACAAAACTATCATTTTACAACTTTTTAATCAACTAAAAAATAAAATAGAATCAAGCAATGCACCCAAAAGATATAATCAATCGTAACATGAACGATATTCCGCTACGCATACGAGATACCTAATATCTTAATGGCTTTTTAGCCAAAATGGTCACTGAGATTTACATAACTTATCATTTTGATCCTTGAGATTTGAAATCAATAAAAGTGGTCATTGAATTTGTCTATCATCAATAATTTTGGTCATTCCTTGAAAAATTAAGGATCAAATGACAAAAATACCCTCAATTTAATAAATAATGGGCCAAAATGATTTGACAAAAATTGAGGATGTTTTTGTCATTTTATCTTTATTTAATGGAGATTTTTCAAGAAATAACCAAAATGATTGATGGTGGACAAACTCAAGGACCATTTCTATTGATTTCAAATCTCAGAGACCAAAGTAAATAGTTATGTAAATTTCAAAGACCATTTTGGCTAAACAGCCTATCTTAATTAGTCAATCAGATGGGGTGGATTTTGCATCTTTACTCAAACCAAATTAGATTTAGGGTTGAGCTATAAATTTTCAAGAGGAATTGAAAAGAATTTTTGGGAGAAAATGACACAGCGAATAATGTTACGGATATAGGGATCACAAACGATCATCCTTGGATAGAACTTTGAAATACCAGAAGTTGTGATAGAAACTCTTGTTTTTGAATTTTATTGAATGAAAAGGTTGCTCAAGCCTAGGAATAGACTATAAAGCTTGCTCAAGAAAATTAAAAAGATAAGCAATAAAGCCCTTGAAATCCCAAAAGGCAAACAATAAAGAACATAAAACCCTTGAAACCCCAAAAGACAACCAATTAAAAACCTCACTTATTAGTAACTTGCAGTTTTGACGGATTTCTACGGAAGATGGCTCAAACCACTTTTGTGAGAGAATTGCTTTAACAGATTTCTGGCTAGCCACTTTTGTGGGAGAAAGGACACCTCTTCTACAAATGCGTTATGGCTTAGCGAGAGAAAGTTACGCCAAATGAAAGTAGCATTCATCTGGACAACCTAAAAAGTCTTAAACATCCACTTTTAGATATGACGGCAACAAATAATATTTTAACCCTTGAATTACAAGTTCTCCAATCACTTTTCTTAATTAAATCGCGTTTCCTTCTTTCACTCTTCATCGTCTAAAATAACACCAACTATGTCATTTGTGAAAAAATTGAGATAGATTAGAGACAGAAGAGTGAAATCCTAGCGTGAAAAACAAAAGGGTTAACATTGAAGACACCCCCATTAATTCTCTCGTTTCCTACTCTTCACTTTCTCCTTTCCCATTCTTGCCTTGTTATAGGGCCCGAGGATGATTGAGGGCCCGAGGATGATTGATGTCAATTCCAACCCTCAGATCTGTCGTCGCTGATCTTTGATTAAAGTGCAGAAGTGGTCGACGACAATCTATAGTATCATTCTTCAGTGACAATCTCATATATGATGTGAAATCATATTTGACTTTGAATCTGACTTTAGGTAAAAGTGCATTGCACAATTATATTTAACTCTAAATTGGACTTAATCTCTCTCTAATACATAAGATTAAAAAGTAATATTCAAAATTGACTCGGTATTGGAGTTTTAATCACTTGCATCGCCACATTTGAAGTCAAATATGATTTTTAACGTTTGTATTCTAAATCGAAGACAACCTCATATACCAAAATGCAAGTCCAAGTGAAAATCAAAATTTTAACATTTATTGGTTTGGTCTAGTCCGGTTCACCTTTGACATCCAACAATTAGCTAACAATTGGAGTTGATTGAGTTTTCTTTTGCTTCTCGAAAATGCAATGGAGCGGCTCACTTAGCGGCTTCATTTGTAATGAGGAATAGAGGCACCATAGATTGGGTATGATGTTCTTGGGGAGAGATTTTTTAGTGTGATCGGTACACGGTATGGTATACCACGTGTCATTATACAAATGGTGGGATATGTGTGCTAAAAAGTTAATAACTTAAAAAAATAAAATTTCCCACCACTCCTATTAAAACAGGTGGTGTACCGCTTGTGTTCCGGTCACAACTAAAAATTTCTCGTTCTTGGGATGATTGTCTAAAATTTTGGCCAAAAATGTAAACGTTGCAATCCGTATTTAATAATATCTACTAACGTTTGACCACCAAAAAAAAAAAAAAAGAAAACACACACACACACACATAATAAAGACTATGTTGTGACACAAATTCTAGTGCAAGTATGATTCTGTAAATCAGTAGTAGATTATATTTTGTAATACTATAAATAAAGGCACGATAATGAGAAATGCACATCACATAAATTTCTCAACTCTCTTATTTTTCTTTAACGCACCATCTCTAACTCTCCCCCTTCAATAAAATAGGCCGCAACACACTACAATTACCCTTTTTTACTTTTTCCTTCCCTTGATTTAGAGGGGTATAGTCAACTTGAATTTCAGAAGATTTTAATAAACTTTTTTAAGTGACAGATTGTAGAGCATTTTAATAGATTCTACAATCTTATATGGATTTTGACAGATTTATATGGATTTCACTTATAGATTTCTATGGATTTATATAGATTTTTTTCATGGATTTCTTAGGACTTTTATCATGCCAATCAACACAAAGCCTGCATATGAATTCATCTCCAATTTCTCCTCAACTAAAAAACACTCCAGCCACGTACCCAAACTCAAATCTCCATGTCCCCACACGCTCAAGAACCGTCGCCAAAGTTGTTTCATTAGGCTCAAAAACCTTGGACTGGGGTGGAGAAGATAACATGCTCACCATTGATGGAGTGACGACAACAAGGAAAATGGGTCTTTGAGGAGGGAGGGAGGCGCCGCGGGGGGGTGGGAGAGAAAGAAAGGACAATTCGAAAGTCGAGCCAGGAGGTGGCCACCATTGATGGAGTGACGACAACAAGGAAAATGGGTCTTTGAGGAGGGAGGGAGGCGCGCCGGGTGGGTGGGGGGGGGGGGGGGGGGGAGATTGAGAGAGAGGACAATTCGAAAGTCGAGCCAGGAGGTGGCCAAGGTATTTGTTGGAAATTTAGCTTTTGATGTTGATAATTAGAAATTGGTTGAGTTTTTTGAGAGGGCTGGAATTGTTAGGTTGCTAAGGTGAAACTTTGAATTTGTTTTGTAAAAAAATTTAATCATTAAGAATATATTAGTACTTTTATATCAACTTTTGATTATACCTATCATAAATTTAATAAGGTGACTATAATTCTATATATTATTCAAAAAATGAGGAAGACTATTCCTCTTCTATGGATAGAATCCTTTGTTCTTGAAATGAAATCCTAGGGGATGAAGGTTGGATTGTCTATGACATTTGTTATTTATACTTCTACTCTCAAATCCATCAAAATCCTTCACCCATTAAAATCTTAGCAAATTCTTGATTTTTGCACTACACCTAAACTTTTGTGGACTTTTTAAAATCTTAATTGACTACCCATAGATTTGGATGTATTTTTTAAAATCCTTTAAAATTCTAATTTGACTACACTATGATTTCAAAATCTTTTAAAATCTAATTAATGACTCCTGAATTTTAAAGTCTATAAAATACTATCAAGTCCTATCAAATCTTAATTTAACTATACCCCTCAAAAACTTGAAAAAATAACCAAAATTTGAACTCCATATACAAATATAGCCAACTTTTAAAATTTATAATAATGATAACCAAAAGTTGATATGAAAGTACCAATATACCCTTAATAACTATAACTTTTAACAAAACAAATCCAATGACTCTCAAAACCCAAGTGATTTTGCAGCTCTACACTTCCCAATCTTCAAAGTTTTCCTTCACACTTGATTGTTCTTGTTTTTCAGCACAAAATTTAGTCCAAAAAATAGAAGGAAAGAGTTGGATAAATGTGGGTTCTTGGATGAAGCGAATGTGATTCAATTGACTAAAGGTTTCCTTATTTGACTTATTTGAATCTTGGTTGCCAAGTTTGGAAGAATCTTATGATTTGAGTGATTTTCTGGTTTACAAAAAGAAAAGAAGGATATAAATTATATTAACACATTCCAAATTACTTCTCTCATACTTTTTAACTTTTTAATATTTTTTTATCAAGAGTTAGTGGTGTGTAGAATATTTAAAAAATAAAAGAGTGTGGGGCAAGTAATTTAGATTGTGTGAATATAATCTCTCAAGAAGAAAAAGGAGTGAACTTTAGAGGGTGGAAAACAAATGAGTGAAATTTAGCTGTCCCTCAGGAGCAAAACCCGATTGTCCTCCATCGCCTTCGTAGCCCAAAACCTTGGACTGGGGTGGAGAGGACAACATGCTCACCATTGACGGAGCGACGACAACAAGGAAAATGGGTCTTTGAGGAAGGAGGGTGGGGGTGGGGAAGAGAGAGAGAGAAAGAAAGGACGATTCAAAAGTCGAGCCACATGAGGTGGCCAAGGTATTTGTTGGAAATTTAGCTTTTGACGTTGATAATTAGAAATTGGTTGAGTTTTTTGAGAGGGCTGTAATTGTTAGGTTGCTGAGGTGAGGCTTTAAATTTGTTTTGTAAAAAAATTTAATCATTAAAAATATATTAGTATTTTTATATTATACATATCATAAATTTAATAACCTGACTATAATTCTATATATTGTTCAAATTTTAGTTATTTTCCTAAATTTCCCAAAAGAGTTAACCCTTAATTACCAAGCGAGAGAATAAAGATACTCACTGGGCCAAAACACACAGTCGTTTCACTTCCTCCTCCTTCAAGCAAAGCACAAAGAATTCCCAACTCGGAGACCTAACTCACCCGAGTCACCACCACCACCGATTCCAAATGGAGGCCCAAGAGGGGACGCAGCAGCCGCACCTTGTGCTCGCAAACAAGCTCTTCCTCCTTTCCCATTCCGATGTCCCGGACATCGAAAAGGTCCAACTCAGGGACGAGGTTTTCGCCTCCGTCAAAGCCGACGGTAAGATCGCCGATGTTTAACTAAATTGAACCCATTTTTGCATTGCCTGTGTTTTCAATTTCGGTTTTTGCGTATCGCGGATTGAGTTTCGGTTTGAAGTTTTGTAGATATGGCGCCGTTGTACGAAACCCTAGTCTCCGAATCGGTGCTTGAGCTGGACCAGGGCGTTATGGACTCGATGAGGGCAAAGAACCAGGAGGAGCTCAAGAAGCTTGACGAAAAGTGAGTTCTTTATTGTTTTTTCTCGTTTTAAATTTTGATTTTGGTCCAGATTGTGCTTGGTTACTGAGAATTATGCGAAAAGAGAACTAGGGATTGAAATTTATGCTTTGGACGCTTCACTGTGAGATACGAAGCTACGAAAATTTGCTGTTACTTAGGTAACTTGTTGAACTAGGCTTGCACAAGTGATATAGTTTTGTGAGATCGGATGCTGATGGGGCATGAATTCTTCGTTGACATATTCGTAATCCATTGGAGTTTTATTGTAAACTAAGTCAGATGACAAGATTTGTGTGAATTGTATAGGGTGAAAAATTATTGTTGTTTGTACTATTGTTATAGCCATTGCAATGAAATAATTTCTGTTACCAAGTAAGTTGTATGGTCGGCTTTGTTTAGGATTGCTAGGCGGAAAAGAACTTAGATAACTTGTTGAATTAGGCTTTACGCAGGTGATATAGTTTTGTGGGATTGGATGCTAATGGAGTATGAGTTCTTTGTTGGCCAACCGTTGGTTTTTTTTCACAGTGGGTTAAGTGGAATGACAAGATGTGTTTGAATTTTCTAGTTTGAAGAACTTTGTTAATTGTGCTATTATTACAGCAATTGTGATAAAGTGGTTACCTTTACCAAGTAGCTTATCTGGTTGCCTTTGTTTAGGATTGCTGATGCGGAAGAGAACTTAGGGGAAAGTGAGGTTCGAGAAGCTCACTTGGCCAAGTCCCTGTTTTTCATTCGTATTGGCGACAAGGTAGATAAGTGGTAACTTATTTGTTATACGAGTCATATCTGCTTTTTATTTTTCCCCATTTAGTGGTATGCCTCAGTTTGACTTTAAAAATTCTTCCCTTATGAATCTAGGAAAAAGCATTGGAACAACTCAAGGTAACGGAAAGCAAGACAGTTGCAGTTGGGCAAAAGATGGACTTGGTCTTCCATACACTGCAACTCGGTTTCTTTTACATGGATTTTGACCTCATTTCTAAGAGTATTGACAAAGCGAAGAAGTAAGTAGTAGTGACGTGGATTTATGAGCTGCAGCTTTTGGTTCTAAATTTGGTAGCTGAGCTTTGTTTGTAACCATTGTATCATGATGGCAGCTTATTTGAAGAGGGAGGTGATTGGGAAAGGAAGAATCGTTTGAAGGTGTATGAAGGCTTGTACTGCATGTCCACTCGGAATTTTAAGAAGGCTGCTGATTTGTTCTTGGATTCGATTTCTACCTTCACCACTTACGAAATATTTCCGTATGACATCTTCATATTTTATACCGTCCTTACGAGCATTATATCGTTGGACAGAGTTTCTTTAAAACAAAAGGTAAACTGATTTCTTACTGCATGCTTTGTGATTTCACTTTCCTGTTTTATATGTTTCTCCCATTGTGTTAAATAATGCGTGTTCTTACAAGAAATTAATAATTTTGAACAATATGTTGCAGGTCGTGGATGCTCCAGAGATATTGACAGTGATTGGGAAGATTCCGTACCTTACAGAGTTTTTGAACTCTCTTTATGATTGCCATTACAAATCATTTTTCAAAGCATTTGGTAAGTAGACAACTAACTTAAATCATAAGAGATCTATGCAGTGATTATTGTCTGACATTATATGGCTGCATGATATTAGACCTTTGGTTCTACCATATAATGTGCTTCAGTTTTGCATTTTCCTGAGCTACCGGAACTTTAATCGGTCCAGTTGTATTTCAACCAAACCAACATTTCGTAGTTGTAATTTCTTTCTTTTCTTTTTTGTTTTTCAGCTGGCCTGACAGAGCAGATAAAGTTGGACCGTTATTTACACCCACACTTCCGGTATTACATGAGGGAGATCCGAACTGTTGTTTATTCCCAGTTCTTGGAATCCTACAAGAGTGTCACCATTGAAGCAATGGCTAAAGCATTTGGTGTCACCGTGGATTTCATTGATCTGTAAGTGATTGAGTCTTATAGTTACCTCGTGTCCGGTTTATTATATATTGTTTTATGAGTTCTGGTCCTTGATTTTGTGATGAAGCTGTTGTCCGGTATTTTACGTATAATTGCTTTCTGCATAAACATAACCGAATCTACTATATACAGGGAGTTGTCTCGTTTCATTGCGGCAGGGAAGCTTCATTGCAAGATTGACAAAGTTGCTGGTGTACTAGAAACTAACCGTCCGGATGCTAAGAATTCACTGTACCAAGCAACCATCAAACAAGGGGACTTCTTATTGAACCGCATCCAGAAGCTATCTCGTGTCATTGACCTGTAGATAGGCTTTCTGCTTTTGGAACGTGGTCACAAAGAAGTTCAGAGCATAGCAACTTGTTTCTCTTTACTTCTCATTCGATGAAACTAAGTTGTATTTCTCCTCTTCTCCAAATTTATGCAGAACTCAAGTACTCTGTATCGAGTTTCCCCTTTTCTCTTCTAATTGTTATTCATCATAGTTTTTTGTGTGTGGATGCAAAATCGTAGCGTTCTTGACTCTTGCTGCGGAATTATTGAACTGGCTCGGTGCCAGAACTTGGAACACCTGCTGCCTGCTTTGTTTAATTGCTTTTTTTCCCCCGAATTTCTCAATGTTTGAAGCGCCGTTGGATTCGATTTTACTAGAATACAACAAGTGATGCGTAAAAAGTACGAGTAAATTAAAATCAAAGTCTAGAACTAAATTAAATTAAGAGTGAGAGTGTGCATTGCTGGATGAATCCTTATTACGAACAATGCACGCAGTGTCTGAGCCTAGATAAAAGTACAGTACATAAAAGAATATTTCCATCCTTATTAGGATAGACAAGCACAGGTGCCCGCGCGATGCTGCGGGTTTACAATTCTATTTACACACATAATTATGTTTACAACTCTATTTACACAAATGTCCAACAATATTTACAATCATTTTTATGGGTTTAAAACTCTTTACACATTTACAACTATGTTTACAACTCTATTTATGCATAAATGTACTACATATATGTCCTCCATTGGAGACAGGATGGATGTCTATCTCATTCACATCAACTTCATGCAACACCAGGAACCCATCCTCGTTTGTTCTTCTGCTGTCTAATAATCCTAATGCCGAACAGAGCATACAAATTCTATAAGTCCAAAAGTTACTGAAAGAAAATCTATTATTACTCCAATATAATACAGAAATACTAAATTCAATAATTTCAATAGTTATTCAAATTCAATAACTTTAGAATATAAGAATACTAAATTGAACGTTTGTAGCCTAAAAAACCAGAGGAACAGTATTCGTGACAATTGATGAGTACCTATTTGAAAAATGTACCTGAAGATTGACTTTCATCAAATAAATCTGTAGAGTAGAGTAGAGTGAATGAGTAAAACAATAGATTACCACAATCAAAAGACAATTCGAAGTAAGATATACATGAATAATTAGGAGTAAGATATATATATATATATATATATGTATATATATGCAATGGATGAATAGTGAATATGTGATATTTACCAACAAACTAAGATAAGGAGTTCATTTTACGATAATTATTCATAAGCAATATCCTTACTGCATTATTGGTTATAAGAAAAAAAAAAAAAAAAAAAAAAAAAAAAAACGATTAATATCATTTGCAATTCTTACTGTTTTTACCTAATCATTTGCAGGATGCATAAGGGGAAAAAAAAACTTTTTTACTTCTTCTTGTCGCATAAATTTGGATTTCACCTCATCCAAACGAACGAACAGTCATTGTTATATTTTTTTTCAGTATGTAACACCAATTTGAAAAAGAAAAAGATAATCTAGTTGACAAATTTAAATTCAATTTTTATATTTCAATATATTTGTTTGTCAAACTCAGTGATCAAACTTTACACTCATGCTCTCCAAAAAGACAAAAAAAAAGGAAGAAGAATTGAAAGTAAAAATGTGAAATTGTAACCTGTGACAATAAGATCAGCTAGCAAAACAATAAATTTGATTTCAGCTTTTTATGGCATAATATTAACATACGATAATGACAATAAATATAAAAGTTTAGAGAATGCACATAACAGTTGGTCGAATATAGGTGAATCATCAAAGTTTCCTAAATGCATGTGTAGAAGGATACAGATATCGCCTTCACCTTTGTTTTGAATTTCAGTGAAACATAGTGCCTAATAATTGTGGCATAAATTAATTTTAAATTTTCCATCGCTCGTAAATTTTAATTAAATAAAGCGAATACATAGTAATCATATCCCAACCATAGAATTAAGGATTTTCATATGTCATAATATTTAACAACTACTATGCATGGTTCTTAAAAAAATATATAAAACTAACCTGTAAGTACAACAGATATGAGTATAAACTAATGAACATTTCCTTTAAAGACATAGTGCGGTATAAATTCTATCACATAACATCACTTGGGAATGGGATTTAGTTTAGAGGCAAACCTTCCCATATCAAATCCATTCATACTGATCACATGACATTAAGAAAGTTCGACATTCAGAGTATATAATTCAGTCAATTATATAGATGATATGTCAGTTCTATTCATGAAATACATGATACAGAAACCCACTTTGGTTAGATCAATGATTCCAACCACCATTAAATCTTCATAGTTTCCCAGTATCAACCAAATTTGAAATCTCTTTATTTTTTACACAATTCAACTTGAACCTATGTCTTTCAGTTGCAATCTCACTCAATCTTTCCCTCAAACAATTCATCGTCTTTGCAATTCGAACCCAATATACCAATTCAGTGCAACAAAAGCAAGAAGTGAGTTCGAAAAGGCATACCTTCACAAAGCTAAAAGCTTTCGATATTCCACGACCTTCTTCTTCTTCTTCTTCCTTCTTCCGACTATCTTCTGATTTAGGGATGGCAGTGCTGCAGCACTCATCGAGCATGCCTATTTCAATAACCCCAAATCAGTTTTAAAATATTTTAGGTATAAACACAAAATTGGGCATAATGAAAACTAAACCAATTTCTGAATTACTTACCTAAGTGAAGAGGATTTTGGAAAACGGAGCGAGGCTGCTGCGGCGTTTGACCTGGCCTGAAATTAGTTAATTACCCAGATGAAAAAAAGAAATATAGAGTGAATTAAAAGATTTATCACAGAGCTTACCTCTGCAGTTGTTGCAGTCTACAGATCCTAAAGCTTAGAGATGAGGCCTGCGTGAACTGGTGGCAGCGATGATCGAACTTGTCGACGACCTGGCACCGGAATCTCTAATTTCAGCACCAGCTACAACTCCCTTTCGCCACTGGGCAAGTGAGTCTGTCGGCCAAAGCACCTGCAGCTGCGGCAAAACCCCAAATTTCAACAAAAATTCGAAAACCCAGAAATTAAATAGTAAAAAAAAAAAGCTTCTTTGGGTCAATTGAAGAGGAAAGATCAGTACCTTTTTGGATTCGATGGTGATACCAAATGATGGATCGAGAGAGGCAGCGATGGCGGCTTGAGCGGAGTCGACGGCACGGTAGGTTGCTTGTAAGTGGGCTTGTTGAGCTCGGGTTTGGGTTCCGGATGTGGAGGCAGGGGACGACGGTGTTTCGACCCGGAGTACGGGGCGTGGCGGGAGAAGTAGGGTTTGTCTCTCTTCCAGCTCATGGTGTTAGATGAGGTGAAGAGGGACGAAGGTTTGCCAGATGAGGTGAGGAGGGAGGGGGATAAGGATCCCACGCGTCACAAAATCGTTATTCATTTGACAGCAAAGCAAAAGGGGCAAAGTTGAAATAAAAGAAGAATGGGCGAGGACAAAATCGGAAATCCACTGGTCATCCACAGTACTCCACCCCTACGGGTTTTAGTATATATGATATCCATACAACTAACAGGAAATAATTTTCTAACATTAACTGAAGCGGATGTTAGACCAGTCAATTACTAAGTTCTGGACGAGTGCAAAGTAGAAGGTGTGCGTGGGTAAAATAAAGATGTACTAAAATCTTTGCTTTTTGTAACATAATAACCCAAACCGTATAGTTTCTGAAATCATACTACAAATAAGTACGAAAAGTTAAGGATAATAATATAAAAGCAGTTATGTTGAAGGTACAGGGAAATCACAAATATCTCAACAAATGTAACACAATGTGCTCATAAAAAACAGACACAAGTCCATGTAAAAAGTAGCTACATGAACATGATGGGTGTAATAATCTACACTCAAGTACTACATACACATGAAGCTGGCGCTAAGCACGGCATATACGAGCCATAGATGCAAAGAGCAACTAGTACAAGCTGGAACCTACAATGAATCTAATGTGAGCATAATGGTGCAATCTAAACATCACATGAAGGTGGTGCTAACTCGGATGAGTACCCTAAACATTGGTTTAAGCATGCATGATGAACAGATAAAATATGTACGACCATAACATTCGAATTTCATAAATCTCTACTCAACTTCAACTGGTAGAGAACATTCATTAAAATCATTCATTAAAACATTCATCAAAATCATTACGGAAACTATAAATATAATATGTTTATGAAAAGAAAGCCCACTCACTTATACGTCATCGCGTTGTAGCCGCTTTGCCTGGCTTGGCTGCTAAACTCCTCGGGATAAGTTTCTCCTATATATATAAAACACTATACTAATCATTATGCTACTCAAAGCTCATAAATACTAATGAAATGACTCGAAATTCCCTTTGTTTTCTCAAAACAGTGAAGGTACTTAAAACTGGGCTCACGAGGCTTCACGCATCTTCACGCGCCGGCCAGTAGCCGTCACTCATCACCATGCATTGATACCTGTAATGGTCGCCGACCTGTGGAATATTACATTGCCATTGGCCTGGATCTTCCAAATTCCGGTCACCTAACGAAATATAGCCAGGGAAGGAATATACCTGCCATTAACAAAATATACTGACGCCGTTAGAGAATATTCCGTCGTTATACAATATTCACTCATCTCCTACCTCACGTCGATCGCCGTTCGTCGGCCAGACTTCACCAGAATCTGGTTGTTCGTTGGAAAATTTTCAAAAACTGGCCAGTGTCCAAAACCCAACCATTTTTCACCAAATTCACAATCTAGACTAATTCGAGGGTGTAGAATTCAAATCTCACCTCTAGAAAATCATAGTCCCACAATCACAATGGTGGTAGTTATGAGGTTTGATCTCACCGGAGAATGGCGGTGGTGTTGCCTTTTTTCCTCCATGCGTACTGAGAGAGAGAGTGTGGGTTGCGGGGAGGGAGAGTGAGAGGAGAGTAACGGTAGGAGCGAGACAAAGAGGGAGTGTGTTGTAGGAAATAGAGAGGAGATGGGTCGTAGTGACACGTAAATCAACAAACAAAATATTATAAAATTCTCGTTTTAACACCAAATTCCTTTTCATTACCTCGCGCATTCGTATCGACGAGTAATGCTTAAATATGGAAAGAAAAGAGAAAAAATATGAAATGACCTAAAATGTCTACATAAAACTTTAACTTAGCCCTTGTGAAAAATAAAATACAATAAAATTAAAGAGTAACATATATAATATATAATAGCAGGCCATATTGACACTATGTCCACTGCTAGGAACTCAAATCCAAAGCATTATTGTATATTAAGCCCATCAAGTCATGTACTTAAATTAAGCTCATAAATAGTTAAAATCAATGCCACAATATTGAAACCCAGAAGCAATTAATTACCACAAAATCTAGCAATAATCGACCTTGAAACAAAATCCGAGGATTTTTTGAGAGATCTGCTGCACCAAAAACACACCCACAAGAGTAGCCAAGGCCTCCATATGATCTGCACACTCAAAATATGCAAACCCTAGCAAGCTGATGACCGATGTGGAACAGCGATGGCGGTAAGAGGAGATTTTTTACGCATGGTTAAACCCTTGGATTCAGTCATATCTAAACCTCCAGCTGATGTTGGCAATTTCCAATCGAACTTCTGCACTACATTTGCCAAAGCAAACTCAATAATAACAGTGGTAAACTGAATTGCTGGGCAGCTCCTCCTGCCGGATCCATACGGAAGGTAGTGGAAGTCATTCCCTTTATAATTTATTCCGCTATTCACGAACCTCTCCGGCTCAAACTCATCCGGCTTGCTGTAATAGTTTGGGTCTCTTGCAATGCCCCACAGATTGACTATAACTTGTGCGTTGGCTTTGATGTCGTAGCCATTTATTTTCACATCTTGGGTTAATATTCTGGGGATTAGTATTGGAAGAATAGGATATAAGCGAAGAGTCTCCTTGATCACTGCCTTGAGATAATGCATTTCAACCAAATCGTCTTCTGTTATTATCTCCTTTCTGTTTCCAACAATCCCCCTGACCTCACTTTGCAATCTCTTCATCATCATTGGATGCCTTAAAAGCTCAGACATTGCCCAGACTATGACTGAGTATGTATCAGTTCCTGCAGCAAACACATCCTGCAAAAATCAAAGTAAATTAATGATCACCTAGTAATACAGAACCTCTTAAATTAGCCTATAGCTAATCTTAAGCCACTGTGGATAGCTATGAGGGCATGTAAGGTGACGGATAGTAGACTACGTCCCGGGTTCAAAATCCTAATAGAAGAAATAACCTATAGCTAATCTTAATACGCAAACTATAGATATATAGCTATCTAATTAATGTGATGCCCTGATCGCCTTTCAGCTTCTCTGGTGGTCGTAACAATTCAATAATTAACAAAAACACTAACAACTTTAAGTTTTCTACAAAAAATTTAAGGAACCCGATTAGAGGAAAAAAATTCAAGGGTGTTTATAACGTATTGGAGTTGAAGTGTTTACCTCTAAAGTGTAAAGTTGTCAATTACTTACACGTGAGAAGCCCTAAAATTTTCAAGTTCAACAGCTTAAGATGAGAGAGAGAGAGAGAGAGAGAGAGAGAGAGAGAGAGAGAGAGAGAGAGAGAGAGAGAGAGAGAGAGAGAGAGAGAGAGGCTTACCATGATGAGAGCCTTTATGGTAACTGTTTCAATAGGAAAACTAATCAAGTTTTCCTTCTGAATCCACAACAGAACGTCCACAAAATCCCTTTGATCCTTGTTGCCACCCACATTAGAGCTATGATCCACCACATGGTCTTGAACAATTTTCTCTAAAAAATCATCAAACTTCTTAGCCACCTTGTCCAATCTAGCATCCATACCGTTGACACGGCTCAACCAAGCGAGTGATGGGATATAGTCCCCGATATAGACACTTCCAAGTAACTCCATGAACTCCCCCACAAGTTCCTTAAACATCCTCCCATCTTCTCCATCACTGTACTTCCTCCCCAAAGCCACTCTAGAGATCACATCATTCGTAAGCGTCATAAACATTTTGCTTAAATTGACTTCCTTTGATGATGATGACAATGACTGCTTATTTATGTTGTTGATCATGAGTTGTATTTCCTCTTCTCTCACCGAACGAAAAGAGCGAACCCTTTCGTTGTTCAGCAGATGCGAAACAGTCAAACTCTTCACTTGCCTCCAGTGCTCTCCGTAAGGTGCCGCTGACATGTCTTTGTAATTGTATAAAAGCTTCCCGAAGACAGTGATCTTGGGCCGGTTGCAGAATATGAGATCATGGGTTTTCAAGACCTCCCGGGCAGTCTCAGCGGATGAGACAATGAGGACGGGGACACTTCCGAAGTGGAGAAGCATAAGAGGGCCATGGCAACGGGATAAGGCATGAAGTGAGCGAAGTGGGCGCAAGCCTAGTTGGTGAAGGTTTCCAATGATGGGGAGTTTTGTTGGAGAAGGAGGTGAATTAATACTAGTAGTGGAGAAATATTTGTATAGGATGATGATCAAACTAACAACAAGTACAAGTCTGAGTGTGAAGAAAAAATTAGGACATTGGTGCAACAAGCTTGAGAAGGATTCAATATTGATCAGCTTCTGCATTATTGGCAGGAGGTTATCAAGCTTCAGCATCTCTTTGTTCTTCTTAATTTGATCGACCTGTTTGTGTTTTGTGTGAATTTTTTTTTCAGCTAGCTACGAGATCTGTAACTGTACTCTTTTACATGGAGTGTCCATTAATTTATTAAGTTTTGATCGCTAAATCTTAATTATTGAATTTTAATTAAAAAAATAATCAACGACTTAAAAAACACTGAATCATATTAGAAAACTTGGGGTGGACATAGATACAGAGGATCTGCATGCAAAGAAATACTAAACAATCTTATTATACATTTAACATGCATTAATTGATCACGAAAAATAACCACTTCATTTTCCAGCTCGATGTCGTTTGGTTAGAAGTTTTCTCAGCAATTCTTAATACTATTTCATGGTTTTGTGATTTACTGAGGATTGTCAAAACGCAGCAAATTTCCATGAATATTTGGTACTAGGTTTAAGCAAAAATTTGAATTTTCTGGTCATGTTGTAATATCTTAATGTGAAAGTACAGAGTCCAAAATTTAATGACGATAAATTCATGTCGTCCACTAATTATCTAATAGTTCATTGGAAAAAAAAAAAAAGTATTGGTACTCTTCTTTCCGTAAAATAGTTTTCCCTTTTTGTAAGTCTTACAAAACAAAATTTCGGTCAAGTCGATGAACCCTAACCAACGGAGAACACTTAATTACAGATCCAGTTTTCAAAAACAGTCTCGAACAAATCTTAGCCAATGTACAAAATACTCTTAAATAATACTATGATCGTATAAATTTTTTCATAAACAATGTTATTCATTGGAGAATAAAAAAAATAGATTAAGAGAGCATCTCAAGTTAGAGGCAAAACAAAATGTGCAGAGATTCTCGTGCATAACTAGTACTTTTCAAATGTTGTCAACATGTAACCACCACGCGGTGGTCAGTGGTTGGAGACGATTTATAGGTTCATATTTCACATTACACGTCTTAATTCGATTCATGACGCTGGTGAATTGCACGATGGTGGTCAGGGAGAGGCTGAAATACCTTTGTGAGTTTTTCCGACTCCCGAAATGGTGGATTGCCATGACAAAACCACCAGTTGGTCTTTTTTTTTTTAAAAAAAAAAAAGAAAAAGAAGAAGAAAAAAATGTTATCAATATTTGCATAACTAGTATGAGTAAATTGAAAATTCTATCATATTTCAGTGTATGATATGCAAAGAGTGAATGATCTAAATTCTTTTTATGTGATAAAAAAGTCAAAAGAATCTACTAATTTAAAATTTTGGTGCATACTTTTGTTATAAATTTTTTTTTTTATGCATACTAAGCTTTGGTGCTTAATTACAAATAAATAAATAAATAAATAACATAGTATAATCGAGGAAATAAACGAAGAAAAAAGATAAACAAAATAGTAAAATAAATTATTGCTTACAAGTAAGGTCGCATCACTTTTAGTGAGATATGATCACACGCACGATACAAACTAAAGACTTACACTAAACTGAGAACGGAAATCACCGATTAGACTCATCTACACGATGAGAATCAAGAATCAAGAATCAAGACTCAAGACAGACACCCTAGCCAAGACCAACTCACAATTTACCGTTTCCATTTTACTTTATTTAAAATGGTTCTATGCACGAAAGAAGATCTATGTACAGACTAATATTCGAATAGGGATAACCTTTATCTGAATTAATTTATGTTCATATTAATTTATCAAATTTAACCATATGTGACCAAACTACAAGTGCTAATATTCGATTCGAATAAGGGATAACCTTTGTCTGAATTAAATTATGTTCATATTAATTTATCAAATTTAACTTATCGAATGTGGCCAAACTTTTAAAATTTTGTCCTTTCAAATTTTGCCCATGCCCTGATGATTCTTGACTTCGCTAGTAGTTCCAGTTAAACAATTATTTACATGACTTGGAGAATGGAGGTCTCCATCAGTGTCATTCATTACATGCATACGCAAGATCGGATGCATGCATGGGCTTCAAATCTCCTGAAGATTTTCCCAACTACGTACTCAATTTAAAATTATGGACGGCAGTCCAGTTGGGATATGGATCTCATTTGAATCCAAATTGAAGGACTAAAAATCCTCATATCTTAATTATTCATCGTGCATTATGTGATTATAAATTATTTAATTTATTATATTAAAAATTAAATATAAATAATATCTGATAAAAATTAATCTCATAAAGTATGATAAATGATTAAAATATAAAAATTTCTAAAATTCTCACGTAACGGATCGGGAGAGAATTCTCTTCCGTCCAGTTGTGCTGGAGATTACATTGGACGAATTATATTTTATATTTGGAGATCATAATGTGATCTTAAACTTAAAAAGTGTCCAGTTGAAGTTAAGTGCGTGTTAAGGTTGCCGTACAGGTGTCGAAAATTGGAGGTGGCACGTGAGGTACACGGAGTTTGACAAAAGATTTGATGCCGGACACACTTCAAGTGGGTGTTAAAGTTACCGTACATGTGTCGAAAATTTGGAGATGGCACGTGAGGTGAAGGGAGTTTGACAGAAGCTTTGCTGCCGGAGACATAGGTTCAGAACTTCAGAAGGAACACATCCACTGTTCAATGTTTATTAAAAATAAATTAATTAATCAATTGTTCAGTATTTTAATATATCTCTAGGTTTAATTGCTTATTTTCTTTTGCTGGAGTTTATCATGTTGTGTTGCTAAGGCTTGGGTTTACTTCTTGAAAGGCTTCTGTGTCTTGCTCTCTGATTCTTGACAGGGTTTTACCATTTTCACTCTGTAAACAAGAAATTATTATGACAAATAAAAAAAGAACACGCGTGCAAAATAATTGTATTGTATTAATGAAAGATTAGGGTTTACAATCTCTATTTAGAATGTTTGAATCCTCTTATTCGATCTCCGGAGTTGAAAAGTGTGTGTAGGATTGTTGATCCAATGGTCACGATGACTTAATCTTGGATGAACAAATGTCGCAAGGTTTTGGCTTGTGGCGATGGAAGAATCGACACATGTGGTGGTGCTTGATGATTCTTCAAAGGTTTGGCGAACGCAGAGAGTTTTCAAGGCCTTTTGAGTGTTTGGGAATTTGGGAGCTTGGGAATTTTAGAGCTTCAACGTCTGGGTGTTGGAATAATTTTTTGGACCCTTTTCTTTGTCTTAGAGCCTTATAGTTAGACTTTCCAAGCCTTGATTACGGATGGATTCGGCCTTGATTGTAGACTTGATTAATTGATGAAAGAACCAGGACTCGATTTGAGACTTGTTTCATGATTTGACTTCATCAATTAATTTGTTTGATTTAAATCAAAATTATTAAAGAACAAATAAAGATCATTCTTTAACTATTTTGCCAAATGTCGTTGCATGACGCACTTAGTGACTCGTTTGGTTTTGATGAGTCACATGTCATATGTATAATTTGTGAGACAAATGTTGCATACCATGTAAGCCTTGACATGTCGAAATTTAATGTGTTGGAGAACATTTAGTTCACCGAAATTTCGACATCTACACATTCTACTGTGTCATGATTTATCGACTTCTTGTTGACGTGCGTTTTTAGACGACAAACTAGGACTTCGAGTGGATCTAAGTCATATGAACTTGGTACACACAGAACTATAGTAGTTCACCCATAATTGGACTACATCTATTGTTGTATATTGTGGTGTATTTGAGTATGCATAGACATATTACAATGGGGAGGCATAAGAGCCTTGTTACAGATAATTTGGGAGAGAAGAACCCTTGCTGCCTCTACGGCAGTCCCTTTTGTAGGCTTCTAAACTTTCTAAGGCCATCTCCAACCGATAGCTGGCCAGATGACTCGTTTTAGCCCTCTGGCTCTCCAAGATATTAATATTTTAATGAACAGTACAGGGTCATATTTGCCTCCGTCTTCAACCGAGGGCCAAAGGGCCAAAAAACCAAAAAAATTAGAACTTAAATTTAATGAATGGTTTAGGTATTTATAGGAAAAAAAAATTAGAATTTTTAAGAATTAAAAAAAAAAAAAAAAATTGAATACAATGGCTAGTTGACTAGCCGTTGTATTCAAAATTTTTTTTAAGCAATCATGTCGGTTATAACCGATATGAATGCTATATTTTTTGGCCAGCCCTCTAGCCCTCTCCGATTCCGTGGGACCCTCTCAGATTCCGTGGGACCCTCTCAGATTCCATAGCCCTCTAGCCTAGCCCTCAGTTAGAGACGGTTTTCGGGCTATTTTCGGCCCTCTGGACCCTTCGGTTGGAGATGGCCTAAGCTTCGTTGCAACGTGTGTGAAAAGGCTTGTACATTGTGTGACACCCTCCAGCAGCCCCATTTGATGCTGTTCAACTTATGTTGGAGATGGAGTTGGGTCGAAATGTTGGTGAAGTGTTTGGAAGACTCGATGTGGATCCTCTCGGCTCTGCCTCAATTGCACAGGTATTTCTACTCTTGAGGAATTTCTGGTTTGCCACAAGTCCCACCGTAGAAACTTACATTACTTTGCCTGATGTGCTTTACCGAGCAAGATTGAGAGGTGATAAAAGTGAAGTGTAAAACTAAACTTACAAAAAAACATAAGTCAACAAATTAAGCTCATGAACCACAAATCATACTAGCAAGTATCAAAACTACAACTCGATGAATATAAGAGCCAAACTGACCTGGAAAAGCAGTTAAGAAGAAGTTATAGAAGACCTCAAAATAATGCAATCTTCTTCCCGTAGAAATCGAAGATGATGAAGTTACCCATCTTCTAAAGCAAACCTTCTCCTCCCTGACAAAACCGTAATGCTCAAATCAATAATAGGTCTTTGATTTCAATATAGAGTGTGTATTTTGTGAGAGTAGAGGCTTACTATATATACACGTTCAATCTACTTGTCTCTCCTATTAGAATCTAGGTGGAACAATGACAAGAAATCCTTGTCCAACAATGAGTGCAAAAACTATAATGGAAACCGTGTTTCAATCCTAAAACGTCTGGAACAATTCAAAACCTCTTTCTATTAGACTTCTTTGCACCAATTTGAATCCAAATAGTCGGCTACAACATAGATTCTCATACTCATATTGAAT